AAAGGGGCGAATGTAATAGGTTATATTTGTTATTTCACGCGGGCGAAGTCGCAAGCAACAACTAGTCTTTAATATATTTGAATATCCCTATGTTAGCATAGTGTATGATATTTTGCTAGTTATATAGTAAAATGTTAGGGTTATCAACAAACATGATCCGACAGATGCACCCTTTTTAATTCAGTTGATGCATTTGTCTGTTGTTAATATTTCCATTCTTTGTTTCTATAAGCTTTCTTTCCACCTTTTACTCTGTGAATACCTGTGGACTAAACATATTCCAGTATTCACAACATATTTTTAACATAGTTTTGCGATGCAATAAATGTATAATTGATTAATACAAGAATTAATATGAATTGCTAGAATGTATTTAATTCCCGGGAATTTTCTGCATGCTATGGAATTTTTGTTTGGTTTCTAAGGTTGTACAACCCTGGTCCATGGGCCATAGTTTTATTAGTGCATTAAAATGGTCCCTAAAACTTTGAATTACCATAATTGCCAAGTAACTCTAATTTTAATAAATACATAAAGAATGTATTACTTTTTTGTTTCTAGATGGACCCTAAATTCTTAAGGAACCAGAGGTTTTGTAAAAAGGGTAACCTGAAGCCTGCCAAACAACTTGCACGAGCAGCAGAGAAAAAAGCAGCCCGTGAAGCAAAGGCTAAGAAATGATCCATTAGATTGTAAGAAATAAAAAATTAAAACACAAAATGTCTTTTTTTTACCTTACATTCACACATTTTAGGATTAACCCAGAGGAGTAGGCAGTCTATGAACTTGCATTGGGCTTGGTCCAAACATAGACATACTGCTCACTTTGACATTCATACATAGATTTTGAGTGCTGTTAATATTGCCCTTTAGTATTTTTGCCAACTGTGATGGCTGCGGTTAACACTGCCATTCTCTATACGCCATAAATTTGCATTCAAGGCGTCAATTACATTTTAGATCACAGTTTAAAAATAAGTATGTGGTGGAAAATGGAAATCAATGTCCATAATTGATGTTTTATATAGCCAAAATTGAAAGAAAATAAACGTTTGATTATATACAAAAAATTGTATCCTTTGCTTTGTTTAATTCTGAAATTTTAATGTTTTATAAATTATGCGTATCAATGATACATTATCAATCACTTTGTGATGTTTTTTTCTTAATTAACTATGTTTTTTTTTAATCGTGAAGTTTTGAATACTGGCAATCTGAAACGGGTAATACCCGAGTTAGAAAGAACATTGAAAAATATGTTGCGTGGGCTAGAGATAAAGCTCAATATCATTTGCACACATAAAAATACTGAACAAGATATAAAGTGAAACGTCACAACTCGGTCGATTATATTTCACGGCTTACGTTGCACTATACTGTACGAAGTATTTCCTCGTGTGAGTAGGAACTTGTTCAACTCGCCATTTTTCTTACATTTCGCATTAAAGTGAAGATAAATTGTTGAAAACCGGTAAGTAAGATTTATTCTACTTTACAAGTTTGGAAATGCACATTTCGTATCCAATCTAATTAGATTGAATGAATAATATATTTTATAGGATTTCTTTAACTAAAGTATAATTGTATCTATTAAGTTACCAATGTAATTATTAATTTATCAAGGTCCTTCAGATTACAGACAAGACTAGTTTTAATTATCTTAGTCAATCATCTTGTTGAACTTGCTTTGCAAAATGAGTAAATATTGTGCATTTTACCATAATTGGGGGTTTAAAAGGATTTAGAAGTATAGATATATATTTTTTTTTCAGTTTCAAGATGGCAAAGGCAAAAGTTGGTAAGAAGTAAGTACAAAGTTTTTCAATATTTTAAAAGGAAATAGATGTTCCATATAGGCATTTAAATCTTCTGTAACAATATTATTCATAAGTTCTTATTGTTTTATAACGTAATATATTTATTTTAGGACTACAGGCATTGCTATGGAGCTGCCGGAGTGTCCAGTGTGCTTTGAAACTATGTCTGCTCCTATATTTCAATGTCAGTCAGGACATAGCCTTTGCAATTCCTGTACAAGTAACTTATGTCCTCCAATTTGCCCTATATGTCGCCAAGCAATGACTCAAATGAGAAATTTAACACTTGAAGATGTTATTGCTAAGGTATTTATATTTGTAATAAGTGCATGTTAAAAAAAGTTGTTTGTTTGACATAGCAAAATGTTTATAATAGAGAGTTCTCAAAAAAGATAATTATGACCGTAAAAGGAAAACCGTAGTAAATTGTTACTACAGTTTTTGTTGTTTTTGTTTTCAAACAAATTGTTGTTTTCAGGCAAATGTGCCGTGCCCAAACAAATCCTTGGGTTGTGTTTACACCATGCTTACTCAAGAAGTAGATGATCATCTAAAAGAGTGTATATTTCGAGTTATGACTTGTCCACTTGGTGCTGTTTTTGGCAAATGTTCTTGGACAGGTAAGTTTTGAACCATATTTCTGTTTCATAACATATTAATAACATGTTTTCCAAGCAGCTCATTTCAGTTAATTGTGGTTAATTCTTAAAATTTGATTTTATGTTCTACACAGTGTTGTATCACAAGTTTAAACTTATTAATATTTAATTATAAATTACAAACATTAACAATACAAGTTGTTTTTCTAATTTTCAATTTTTATCTGAATAGGAAATCTTAAAGAAATGATGGATCATTTCAAAGACCGTCACCCTCAGCACTGCAACATTAACATGGAAACAGGTGTAGAACTGAACAATGTTTCCATTAATGAAGATGAGCGTTTTCTGTACTTAGCTCAACAAGGCAATCTACTTTTCATTGTCACCATGAAGATTGATACTTTACAAAAAGTAGCTTATTGGGTTGTGCAGCACATTGGCAGCAAGAAATCTGCACAACAGCATATTTATGAGGTTCATATAACTAGTAAGCAAGATCCCCGAAGGCAAGTGATATTTATTGATCACTGTTATAATGACATTTTATCAGCAGATGCTGTTTACCGTCTTGGCAAATGTGGTATTTTACCATTAGATATGTTTTCGCATTTTATTCATAACAAAAAATGTTCCTTTAAGTTTGTCATTAAAAAAGGTACACCCAAACCTAAAAAGTTTGATAAGTCCAATACTAGTAATGAAAATAAGCAGCCAAATGCTCCCAAGCATCCCAAACCAAAAGCTGGTTTTACTCAACGTAATAAGAGCCCAGGTCCTGCAAAGCACCATAATGTGGGTTCTAAAAAGTGAAATAACTTACTTTATTCTTTACATCAGCATAAATATGAATAAAAACCATTTAATTTAAATCATTTATCAATAATTCAAACATATGCAATATGAATAAAATGTCAACAATGTATAAGACTTATTTAACATATAAAAAAAACATCAAAATGCTAATATGGTATAAGGATTAACAAAATGTCCTTAATTGTAAAATAAATAAAATATGTTCATTGTGTTTGTGTCTATCTTCATGTTACTTTGTTCTCACTCACCAAATAAGTGAGTAAGATATATTAATTCCTGTCTCTCTTTGGCTTGAGGCCAGCTAAAGTCATGTGCTACACATGTCCCAAACTAATTATATATTGTAATCATTTTAATCTTAATTATGTTGTCAATGTTCTTTTGTTATGGTAAGGTTTAAGTAAATTAGGTTTGTAATAGATAGCATTGAATATGAGTGTTAAATCCTAAAGAATAAAAAAAGATTATAAGAATTGAATACTCCCGTATATATGCCTTTTAGTTTAAAGATAATTATAATGCACAAATGTTGTAAGATTTTGCATAAATAAATTGTCTGAAAAGTCAATAATGTTTTATTGAAACCACATCAACATATGTAATCTTTATTTTTTTTGTGATATCAGGTGGTAAACGAGCGAGCTTAATAAGTAAAATAAAGACTTGCCAAAGCGAATAATCAAAATTTAACGGAATGATTTTGTTGGGTAGCCTTGAGGCTCTGAGTATCCACAGTACAAGTCAGTCAGTTGTGTTAGCGATAGGGACGGGATGTTTGAAAAGGGAATTTAAATCAGGGGTATTTAAATTTCATTGTACACGTAGAAGTATAAAGTTTAAAGTATTACTATTACTATTTTCTGCCTCTTCTAGTAATTTTTATTCGATCTGGCCGATTTATATAAAACACTTCTAATGTTCCATTCACTGACTTCTTTAAACTTTTACATCTATAGCTCTATTACAATGTCTACTCTTTGGTAATTATTGACATAATCTGTCATTGTCAAATGAATGGTCAAAAATGTTTTGAATTATGAGATCGTTTATTAAATTAGTCTTGTAAACTTGTAATCGTTTTTAAATGTTATTTATTAATTAATCAGTGTAACAAAAAATATCATCACGGTAATATCAACCTACAGCATTGATAACATATTTACTTAACTAGGTAAACTTACATAAATGGACGAAATAAATGTTCAGAACTATTCATCATTCAAAGATGATCCTGAAATTCTTCTGCAATTCGTTAATAAATATTGTACAGTACAACTAATAAAGAATAATACATTTTCTGGTTTCGTGCATTCAATAGATCCCATATCTAAAAGGTAAATTGTAATTTAATCTCAATAATATGTATTAATGTTATGTGTAATTTTGCTTTGTTCTTGTGTACGTAGCTTTTTGTCTATACGAGTAACACAAAATGTAACAGTTATCGCTTTCTGCGCATTTCACCCCTTATGTCTGTCCTTAAAAAAGTGTTATAAATAATAAAATATTTAATGTTCCTTATATTTGATGATAAAAAAAAATACTCTTTTATTTTAGCATAATTCTCGCTGTGCCCTGTGAGAATAGTTTTCAAATAACTTTGTTACCTGGTCATGCAATTATAAATCTTTATGAAAGTAATCAGGAAAATCTGACATCACCATTTCAAATCCTCAAAGATGAGGTTTCTCTTAATGATATTGCCGCCAGAAAAACTAAAGTTATGGATTGGTTCAAAGTGAACCTGCTAACAGTAACAGAGTCTAATGAAAATATTATTTTTGGTAATGTATCAATATTACCTCCATATAGTGTTACTGATATTTGTACAGACAATCCCATGGTAGCAATGCAAGTTAGAAAAATAATTGAAGGAATGCCTGCCTCAAGTTGAAAGAAAATTGAACTATTTTTATAATCATGATTATAGATATAATTTTAATTAAAATAAGTAATAAACTTGTAAGGTTATTTTTATTTTCTTACCACTTTTTAAAATTCTTTCTTAAATAAAAATTACCTTGACTTTTGTAATTTTGGCCGATTTGTTTTAATATTTATTGTGGACCATCAGATGTGCAGTTAGTCTATATAACATAAAGCGGAAAGATTTGTATTTTTTTATGTATCGGAATCACTTAAAAACTACTGGGCCAATTTCAAAAACTGTTTCAACATTAAAAACCTATGTTTTCCGTAAGTAACATAGGCTATATTTTTAATTTTACGCAGTCAAAGTCGCGAGCAACAGGTAGTAATAAATGTACCAAGTGAATTACTAATTAAATAGTAACAAAGTTGGACAAACAATAATGTACCGCGAGATGGCGCGTCTCTGTGTGTCTTTAAGAGCGGGTCATTGACCGACTTTTCGGTCAGTGATAGTACAAAGAAAAAAAAAACGTATAGCCCATAATCTAAAGACTTTCTCTGATTTTTTTACATACCCACCTACCTATATGTTTTTCACTACAGGTTACAGGGTTTTTAAATCCTTATTTTTATTAAAAATGTATTGCTACACTTTCTGCTGTAAAATATGTAAGGTAAACAGCAGAAATAAAATTCACTAATGTAATCAGTGTCTAAAACAAAAAATATTAACTGTATTTTCTTAAGAAAACTAGAAATGTATATGTATGTATAACGACTTCGATATTTGTTTTAATCTACAATTAACACAAAGGATTTGCGAGAAGTCTTCAATATTTATCTTTTAACCCGTTGTTTATTACAATACCAGGAAAAACGCGCCTCGGACAAGATTAGAATTTTATTAGGTATCAAGGTCAAGTGTAATTGCTGTACCAAAGTCGACTTTTTACGTCGGAGAAATTCATTTAACTTTAAAATACCGCAAAAATATTACAATTTGTAAAAGACTGGGAAATAATTTAGATAACACATTACGTGGTGGTGGTGTTATTTGACGTTAATTTATTTATAAATGATAACGCAGTGTCGGACGAGGCGTGATGAACGACGGTTCACCGCCCGGACACTTATTGACCCGCATTTTATAATTAGTTTTTTTTTAACCTACTAGTTTTTTAATCAGTGTACAAAATGAGTGGAACAACGAATAGGAGAGTGCAATATTTGGCTGGAATTTGCGGTAAGTTTTGGCGGTAAATTTAAATCATGTTTGAATTTCGAATGAAATGTTTACTTTCGTGTACCTATTCTAACAGCTGACCTTTGTTATAGCTTCGTTAGCGTTTACGTTTACTGGAGCTACTATTTCATGGTCTTCTCCAGTGATTCCAAAGATCAAGAGTGGCGAAGTAAATATACAGCTGTCAAATGTACGTATATTTTAAAATTACGTATTTTTAAATATAAACAGATACACCATTTTGTACTGTGAAAATAGTAAAACTTTTTATAGTTTAAATGAAACATATTCCGCAAATGTTTACTATTTCTATTTCAAAATTCATATTTGGCAAGTTGTAAAAGTGGACGTATTTAGATTTGTGTGTTTATTTTTGATGTTGACACGCGACTAAATGCTAAACGGGTTTGTTCTCATCAATATTCGATGTCGTCAGCATATGTTTGAAAATAGTAGATTATGCTATTAAACCTATGAACATTTTCTTGTATGATTTGACATGAAAAGTAAGCATAAGGTCATTTTCATGACAAAATATAGGCACAAGTCTGTCTGGTGTTATACCGACACAGTGTACGTTACCAACTTATCTTATTTCTTATTAATATCATAAACGCAAAAGTTTAAGTAAATAGATAAATATATTTGTTAAATTTAAAACTTGTTACGAATGAGATTTAGTACAGAGCAAGATTGTTTGAAATAGAACATACGCTATTATTTTCTTCACGCAGGTAAAGTCGCTGGCAAATGCT